TTGCCTAATGGAGACAGCAGTAGTCCTCCTCCCACAGGTACATGGGGAGAATCAAATGAGAGCCTGTGAGGAGTGGTTGGCTTGGGGTCAGCACAGAACCAGGAGAGCTCAGTAACCACTGCCTGTGAACAGCCTCCCGGCGCTTCCTGGTTTTTGCCAGGCAGCCTGGAGCCAGGAGCACAGCTCTGAGGCCTGTTAATGACCTGCTGACTGAGCGAAGGAGCCCTGGGTACTGCCAGTGGCCAACTCACCTGGGAGCAGCTCACTGGAAGGTTGGAGATAGGAGTCCACCCAGAGGTGCCCTGGAGGAAAGGCCTTGTGACCCTCTGAAAATGCAGCCACTGTAGAGCCAGGTTCTACCCTGACACACCAGGGCCATCATGGGTAAGGGCAGGCTTGACAGCAACTGATGGCCTCGGTGGGCAGATGGGGCATCAGAAAGAGGGTGATGATCAGTGGAGGCTGGGGAGAGGGCTTATTGGATGGATGGATACACGGATGGATTGATTGCATGGACTGGTGTTGATTTGCCCAGCCAGGCTCCAGTCCCAGTGTGCATTGCTTTGAGACTCTGGGCATGTCATCTGGGTTTTTGAAGCTTGGCTTCCTTACCTGATGGGCACTATCCCCTCCCTGCTGGGAATGCTTGGTGAGCCACAGGAGGCCTTTGGAAAAGTGTCCCTCCTTTTGAGTCCCACCTCCTGCCTCTACTCCCCTCCCTGTTACAGCCACAGTGAGGCTTCACCACGGCTATTAGCTGAGGCCATGCCCAATGGAACAGATTGCTGCCCAGTCCTTCACCACATGCCCAGTACTGCTGACTCCTGCTCGGGCCTCAGCACCTCAGGACGAAGGCTCAAGCCACCGACTGCCCACTGGACCTTGTGTGATCAACCGCCTCCTCCCTGGCCTCACCTCAAGCCCCTCTCCCTGCCCACATCTTAGCCAGTGCCTTGGGCTCAGGGTGGCCCTATGGGCCTGTACTTCTGAAGGCTTCCCCCTAGACTCTCTCTCTCACCTCTCCCAGCAGGCCCCGGTCCAGTTCACAGTACTCGTGTGCAGTTAAGTCTATGAACAACCCTGTCCAGTAGAACACACAGTAAGGATGTCCATGGGGCCTGGAAACTGGGCCCCACTCTTTACAGGTGTCATAGCCCTTCAACTTCACAATGAAGGTTTTGAATGGTGGCCTCTCAAACATGTCCCTGGCCTACCTGCTGGAACCCGTGAAGACCGACTTATGTGGGAAAGGGTTATCTACACAGGTCGTAGCAGTGAGAGTCAAAATAGGAAGGGTGGAGGGGGTGGCGGGAAGGACCCTGAAGACGGGAGTGATGCAGTCATGGCCAAGGAGTGCCTGGAGCCCCCAGGAGCATCTTCTCCAGACAGAGGGGCTCTGCTGCTTTGCTCTTGAGCTTCTGGGCCCAGGATGATGAGGAAATAAATAAACGCCTCTCATTTTTAGTCCTCCCTGATTATGGTGTTTTGAATCCTCCCTGTGTTGTGCTTTAGAGCCGGGGGGCGGGGG